AAGGTTGATGAAGGAAGTGGTAGAGCTCAGTTAGCTTTGTTTAGTTCAAATAAATAGTTTGTTAGCCCAAGAAGAGAAGACCCTAATAAATCACAGTATAACGTATAACTGTCCTCTGTGTGGAGATATTAAAAAGCATGGAACATTTTCAAGATAAGTGGTGGAGAAGCAGCAGTTAACCAAGCCTAGGTTATGCCCAGAATAAGTGAAAAACCCACTTTAGAGAGGAAGTTCTACGGATTATACTTTAACTATTTTGGTAAAATTGCCTCTTTTTTCCTATTTCAGCATGCTTTTGGAAATACTGTGTGCAAAGAAAGTAATGGATTTAATATGTGAGATCAGCAAACCCATCTGGTGATTCAGACATTTAAGTCTGACAATGAAATCTTCAACATCTGAAGTCCTCTTCAACAGTTAAGATTCAGCACTCTTATAATTATTTGACCATATCTGCCTTGGACTCCTACATATTTAAAAGACTCATGTCAGTATTTAAGTTTCATGTCAGATATTTTAATTTGCAATAATAATATAATAAAATAATTTTATACAAGCTGTGTTATGAACTGAAATTCCTTCAGGATTAAATAGCTTAACATTTGTGGATAATACAGTATTACAATGGGACTATATTTGAGACAAGGGGGCAAATGTTAAACAAATGTGTTTTCCCCCCTATAATAATAACTGTGTGCTGTAAAGTCAGTTCTGACTTATGGCAACCCTTTTCAGGTTTTTTGAGGTAAAGAGTACTCAGAAGTGTACTCTTTGGACACTTGGGACTGTGCAGTTTGGCCAAGGCCACACAGGCTGGATCTTCTGGGATGCACAATGGGGAATTGAACTCCCAACCTCTACTTAAATCACTGAGCTATCCAGCTAACCATTTTTTTCCCTAATCAGACATAAATATTTATCTGATCAGGACTACTTTAAGACTGAACTTGCACACAGAATATGCTAGGACATCTCCCCTTAAGACAGTGTTCTCTTAAGCAGATTCACTCCAACATAGACTGGTCTGGTTGTATACCACGTCATATGCCATCAAACTGATTCTGACTTATGGTGACCCCCTCCAGAGTTATTCTAGGTATATGGTACTTAGAAATGAGTTCCTTTTCCTCCTTCTCAGGGTGCTCTGGGACAGTGCAGCTTGCCCAAGCCTGGCTCTTCTCCTGAGAAGCACAGTGGGGAATTGAACCCTAACTTCTGGCTTTGCTCAGTGAAGTTAATCTGAAAAGGATACTGCCCTTAGTGTGTCCATGTCTTCCAAAAAAGAATTAAGATATCAAAAACAATGTTACACACACATGACCAGTCATTGTTCCTTTTCTTTGATTAACAGAGCGTGTTCAGACACAGGAAACCTAAGAGAAACTAGGACCCATGCCAGTGATGGGCACTAGTGTGTTAAAATTAATAAAGTGGGGCATTTGCTAAAGGAAAAGAATAGTTTAATTTTTTAAAAAATGAAACTGATAAACATATTTTTGTATTAACATTTCACCAGAATTGAATTAGTATTAGTGTTATGGCCGTGATACAGTGGTGCTTCACATGACGACGTTAATTTGTTCCGTGAAAATTGCTGTAAAACGAAAATGTCGTAATGCGATTTTTAAAAGCCCATAGAAACGCATTAAAACCCGATTAATGCGTTCCTAGGGGCTTCAAACTCACCATCCAGCGAAGATCCTCCATAGTGCGGCCATTTTCGCTGCCCGTGCAGCGAGGAATCCATGCCAGAAAACAGCGAGTGGCCGTTTTTTTAACCCGGCGGCCATTTTGAAACCGCCGATCAGCTGTGCGAAAATCATCGCTTTGCGATGATCGGTTACTGAAACAGGGGACCGATCATCGCAAAGTGAAATTACCCCATAGGGAACATCGTTTTGCAATTGCTTTTGCGATCGCAAAAACATCGACGTAAAGCGATTTCATTGTCAAACAGAGCGCTCGTAATGCGAGGCACCACTGTATTAATGAAGTCAAGGTACAAAGCTGGATGACTACTCTTTAAAGATTGTCCAAAAGTGATACACCTCAAGTACATCAAGAAGTTAAGGCTCCACATCCCACAGAGGCATGAAACCCATTGGGTAACCTTGAACCAGTCTCTCTCTCTCTCAGCCTGACCTTCCTCACAGGGTTGAATGTATGATAAAACCCAGAGAGAAGAGCCTTAGTTTATTGAAATAAAGGTGGAGTATAAATAGAAACAGAAAACAAAACCAAAAACAAAACAGTCGTAAATAAACATCCATTCAATTTCAATTAAACAGATGAGATTTTTGTGCCATCGTGTCACTTGTGATTCTTTGGGATCCTAACAGGGTTTTCAAAGCATGCAGTTTGTAAAGATATTCAAGGTGTTGCTTACCACTACTACCCTTCAAGTAAGTTTTTGTGCTCCAGCAGGGATTTGAAACCAGACTTCATGAGTCCAACACTACATAAACCGGTTCTTAGTAAATGAGCAGGTACTTGCTTAAAACCCTGATTTGATTTGAATATCAATCAATGAAATCTAAAAGGAGTAAAATAATGGATCATGTTTCTCACATTCACTTTTGATAAGGCTTTTACTGTTGCAATATAAATTTAAATGCCAATTTAAAATTAATTTACTTATTTAAAACAATTCCTTTAAAACATAAATATAATTGTTAACCTTTCCCCAGTAATTCTACCCTCTATAACCAAGATGTGAGTTATAAATATGGTGACAAGTATCAGCAGGTAAATTCTTACGCTTCCCTTCTAAGAAAGAATCCATTACAACAAAACACTTTTTTGGAGTGCTCATTTCTAAATTCCTGATGTCTTCAGTATTGGAATATGGTCAAATGCACTCCAACCCTCTTCACAAGGCCAAGACTTCTGTTTAAATCAGTGAGACATAACATATTTAAACTTTAAAGTCAGGTTACAGCTTGTTTCTAATTTTTAGAAGTTACTAGAGTCTGAACTAAAATAAACACAGGACAACGACGTTTAAGTCAGAATTTTTTGTTATTTTCTGTTCAGATTTGTAAGGCATATTAAATAACAATGATTTTTCACATGTAGTTGAAAAGTATAAATATTTCTGAATCTGCAGTATTAGTAATCTTTCTTTCTTGAGTACTAATATATCATATCCAGCATTTAACCTTTGTAAGGTGAAACGATTTAGGTTTTAAACAGATTGTCTCTAAAGAAAATAATAATCATGTGCCATCACGTCATTTCTGACTTATGGTGACACTGTTTTTTTTAAAAAAAATATCAGCATTTAACACCATGTTAAAATTATTCACAAGGAACATGAACCAAGATATTTAAAGCGCATGCCATGATTATACAATGTAGAAATAGTTTTAACTTTTAAAGAATCATACTGTAAGAAAAGCTTTATGAAAAGTAGACATCTTGAGATGAAACAGATTTTCTCTTCTAAAATAAATTCAGTTTAGTAAATATACCTTGTAGTCAATCATTTCTAGAACAAAGCTGATGGCTAGTGACTTCAGTAAAGGAGAGAGAGATGCTAGAAGTCACAACCACTTCTTTCATTCTTTGACACAGAACAGGAAGCAAGGAAACCAATCTAAACCTATAGGTTATGATGCTAGATTGTGGAACCTATCTTGTTCTAAACTACAGTCTCTGGTTTGTACATAATAAGTGAACTCTTGAAGGAAGCAAAAACAAAGTCTTGGGTGGAGAAAGTCAACAAGATGAAAGCTGAGATCACCTGCTTCCTGATCACGCAGCACCAGACCATGACATAGCATTACTGTATGTCCGAACCAGGAAAAAATGTTTGCTAGCAGGCAACGTACATAATAAGTGAACTCTTGAAGGAAGTGAAAACAAAGTCTTGGGTGGAGAAAGTCAGCAAGATGAAAGCTGAGAGCACCTGCTTCCTGATCACACAGCACCAGACCATGACATAGCATTATGTCCGAACCAGGAAAAAGTGTTTGCTACCAGGCAACGTTATGTTCATCAAATTTTTTCCATTGAATTGGATTCCAAAAATGGGGGTAACATGACTCTTTTTAATGATGTAGCAGGTGGGAGTAAACTATTTAAATCACACTTGTACATTATGCTTTCCACTGTATTCAGTTCACAAAGTGAGTTACTTTTCAAATGACAATGAATAATGTGATCTGTGGTCTTTAAAATCATCACCCTCAACTTAGTTTGAAAAGATGTCATGCCATGGAGCCACCCAGGTAGGACAGTAATTATGAATTATGCAGCTTTTGGAAAGGGACATCTGGTGTTAAACAAAGAACTTGCCTGTAGTTTCGCCATCAAACAAGCAGAAGCATCTCAGAGGATGGAATGTGTTTGGAATACAAATTGCTCCATCTTTTGGATTTCTTTCAATCATTTATGCAGGGTCACAGGGTAGTATGGACCAGTACAATGGGGACAGATGCTTTGGTTCAGGGTGGTAATGGGGTGTTACATGCATACTGATAAAGAAAAATGAGTCAATTTCTTTTTTATATTTTTAAAAATAGAGTTGGTGTGTATCGTGCAGATCACTGAGTTCTATCCCCTTCTAATGCACGCTGTTGCTTTAGAAGATTTCCACCAATGAGTAAATTTGGCAACAGTTCAGAAAAAAATGGGGGTGGAAGTTGGAACAGCTCTGAGAATCCACTCTCCCTGTTCAATTATGGCAGAGCAGCTGTGTTGCAGAAGTAGTAGGAAGACCTGTGAGGACTTCCTGGGTCTGTGTGTTACACACAACTGGTGGAATATCTGCAGTATTAAGATCTTCTAAGAACACAATCTTGCCTGCCTTCACCTATGAAGAACCATTACTGCAGCCAACATCTGATGGTAAAGAAAAAAATTGGAGAAAAACAAAAGGGGTTAACTGGAAGCAGTAACTTTGACCCTTAGCAGGTCTCTTCTCAGAAATTAACTACAGCATGACAATGTTGATACAGTGTCATGTTCTATGATACTGCACAGCCAAAACAGAGGTTAAGTATTATATTTGGAAGGGCCAAAAAGCATATGATAAACACATACTCAAGAGTTTCTACACCTGGATGAAACTCATGGAACAACCAAAATGACAGATCCTGCAAACTCCATTTTTTTACAATATTTGAAGTAGCTCTGATCATGGAAACAGCACAATGCATATTGATTAAAATCCATAGGTGTTTCTGCATTGACTTCAATGCCATGTGGGCTGTACCAAATCCTGCTAACAGTGCTGGCTGTATGTAAATAGCTTTCTGAATACAAATTAGCTGGGGTTGATACACTAAGGCTGCTGAACTTGAATGGGCAGCAATACACAATGGCTATATAAAGCCAGGTTTTCACAGGTTTTATACACCAGTCTGTCCACATGAGCTGCAAGTGTAGCAACAGATAGACAGTTTCCACAGCTTCTGCTGTATTTATGGTGCTCCCATATATCAAAAGTGTAATCACTATAGTTGCTCTGTAATCTAGATTAGATTTTTTTGCAAATGTTTTTGAGCTTTGATCCATTAAACATAATACATATAAAATTTGTGTGCAGGTACATATACATGTAAGATGACATAGATACAATTACACTATACTTGAATGAGTACATAAAATAATTATTATGTGAAGAGGAATGGCCACCTTTAGAACTTCTTGAACATTATTGGAAATTTCTTTCTTCTTTTTCAGATGAAGCTCATGGAAGAAATACAGCAATAGAAGATTCTCACATTTATTTCATTCTTTTTGCAACATCCAAGTAGGCAAATTCTATTTCCCGATCTGCAGGACAAGTATTAGTGAATTCATCTCTAGCATATGCATTGTTCAAGTATCTCCAGATTCCTGTCATTTCAGATGGGAATTCAAAATTTCTATATTTTTTTGCCACAACCTTTAAAAACAAACAAGGGAGGAAATTGTCAGATCTGAGGCATGAGTAAGCAACATAATATTTGATTTCTACTTTCAGTATATTACTTGAAGGAAGCAGAAAATAGCAATGGAAACAAGGTACTGTATGAGCTTTAGTAATGCATAATACGTAGATAACAGATGTGTTCAAGAAATAGATGGCACATTCAATTGCAATTAAGTATTTGGCATGAGCAGGTTGCTAAAGTTTAAAAAGTAAATAAAATGCCTCAATATAAGGCATTCATTATCAGTTCTTGGGGGGAAATACACTTTTAATGAAATAGCTATCTGAATATTTATTCTATTTTTAAAATGCACAAAAAATCATGTGACCTCTATGGGGCATAGGCAGAAATTTCGCCTTTTTTTGGGTGGCTCCCTCCACCAATGGGCCCACTTAACCCCTACCAAAAGAATAAATTAAAATAATATGTTTTGGCCATTGTAGGAGCTTTTCTGCTTTAAAAACTTTTTTAGAAGTAAAACACATTTCTCAGTTAACAAAACACCCCAAATTGTAGCAAACTTTACAGCACATAAATACGGCATTAAACAAAAGTGTGTGTAAGTGTGTGTGTGTGCGTGCGTGCATGCATGTGCATGCAAAGAAGCCTCCTTAGTCCAATTCCTCCCCTTTAGCTCCATTTCTTTTGAAGTGTGACAGTAGGAGCTTTTCTGCTTTAAAAACTTTTTTAGAAGTAAAACACATTTCTCAGTTAACAAAACACCCCAAATTGTAGCAAACGTTACAGCACATAAATACGGCATTAAACAAGTGAGAGAGAGAGAGTGTGTGTGTGTGTGTGTGTGTGTGCGCGCGCACGCATGTGCATTCAAAGAAGCCTCCTTAGTCCTATTCCTCCCCTTTAGCTCCATTTCTTCTGAAGTGTGACCCTTGGGCTGTTTACAAACCTAAAACAAGGTCTTTGGATCCACTGAGATTACCAATCCCTACTGCAAACAGTGCTCCAAAATTTAAATAAACAGATTCTACCTCTGTTCCCTATCTTCCCTTCCCCTACAGAAACATCTTCAGCAATTGTCTTGATGATGTCAGAGCTCTAACAGTAGGAGAGAAAAAATGTTTGATACAGCTTGTGATATGGATAGTGCGGGCAAGGCTCTTGTTATGGGCTATTGCCAATAGCCCATCCAGCATCCCCATGTCCCCAACACAGGAGACGATATCGTCCAGCTGCAGGGTTATTCTAAATGTTTTCTGCAGTCACCTGTGAGCATTGGAAAGAAAATTGGTTTTAAAAAAAAGGAGGAACAGAAACAGTGACTGTCACTCCTCCTCTACTTTGATCCAACTTCCTGCAGCCATGCAAAGTTCTCTGAATTAATGATAGCTTGTTTATTGGTGCAGCAATAAACACCAATAAACAAGACGTAAACTGCCAATCACCACCAAGTAAGAAGAATAGGAATTATTATTCCGCACATTTTACTGCTTTCTGCTTAAAAGGGTAGGCAAGTGCACCAACAAAGAGAAATTCCAGACCTTGATAATATGGAGTTTTGGCAAGAGATTGCAATCTGCTAAAGTCAGTTCGTCCCCATCTAGGAATTTCCTTCTTGAGACAGTGAGTTCTTCAGTGCTATAGGCATCAATTTCTTCAGGCAAAGGGGTATTTAAATAGTTGTTTAGCTTCCTTAAAGCCTTGAGCAGTGATTTTTCTAAATCTAGAATTAAAGAGAAACAGAAAACTGAGGGGGGTTGGATGAAGAATCTTAGAAGAGAGCTGTTTTGAGTGACTAGCTGGTTTCCTGAAACACAAGATTCTTAGTGAGATTCAGAAACAGGTCCAACTTGTATTTTTGTTAAAGTCATGCAATAAACAAGAACAATGCATTGGGTACAGTGGTCCCATTGTCTTCTTGCATTGCTTATATACAAAGTTGTTTGTTTTAAACAAGGGTAAGGAAGATTGTGAAGCAACTTAACACAGCATAGAGATCTCTGTTGTGTCACCTAGTTCACTGGACGTGGACTTACATGCTTTCTTTCAAGCAAGGGAACCTGAAGCATGTGTTTTGAAGCACAGCAAAGTTTTTGAGATGATTGATAGCAGTATTAATAGTACTAATTCAAAATACCAAAAAGATACCTCAGATCAGCACTGCTTCGATCATTGACTATGACAGCTTTTTCATCACAGGGAGAATCTAAAAGGCTTCCAGGTTTAGCAAGGTGACGTTAAAAAGCAAACTTTAAATTTACAGTGGTGCCTCGCTTAATGAGCACTTTGTTTAACAACGAATTCGCTTAGTGATGGCTTTTTTGGAGCGATCTTGCACTCCATTTAACGATGTTCCCTGTGGGCGATTTTCGCATAGTGATGTTTGGGACCATGCTTCACATAGCAATGACAGTTTGGGTTCCCCTGTTTCACTTAACGATGGTTTTGACAGCCTCCTGTTGGCTGTTTTTTATACATTTAAAATGTTTTAAAAATGTTTAGAATGCTTGAAATCATAAGGGCACTTAATAAACCCTTTGTTAAACTAATTTGACTTTGTTCCGACTCTTTTTCAATTTGTTGTAATTTTTTCCCCCCGTTGAGATGCATTGAATAGGTTTCAATGCATTTCAATTGGGGAACCGCGTTTCGCTTAGCGAGGTTTTCCCATAGCGATGAATTTTTTTGAACCAATTAACATCACTAAGCGAGGCACCACTGTATTTGTCATTTTGTGTATGGCTTGTAGTTTATAACAGACCTTGCAGTAACAGATACTTTACAGGTATTGACTTTGCTCTTCAGACATACAGCAAAATGTGGCCAGGTTCTGAAACATTGATATTCACAAACAAATCATCTGCTTTTTTTACAAATCTTCGGTACATACTTCTCTTATCCTATCCTACATTGGAACTTATATTATGCCAAGTACCTGGAGATAGTTATTTAGTCTTCCTCCTTCCACGGTTTTCTATGTAGATCTCAAAACTATTTGTGAACATTTGCTGCTTCTTAAAAACACTGCTGTTTCATATTTTGGAAATGCTAACTTTGAATTCTCTCCTCACACCCATCCCAGATTTCTTATGTTATTAGGCCACTGATTAATACATATACTTGCATGCCTAGCAAGAAATATATGACATCCAAATTGCCATAACTGTCTTGTATCAAGGTATTAAAATTGCACGTGGAGACATACAGATCAGAATAGCTCTGATCCTTTGAGCTGCCAACAAGAATGATAAAACTTTGTAAGGACTTACTTTCATTGGCATCTTTCCTTGTGTTTTTTATGAAGGCAGAAAATTTAGCAAACACATCATTCCCTGCAGAGTAAGATTCCAGATGATTTGGTCCAAGTTTGGGATATCTGAAGAATTTAAGATACAAGAATTTAATTCTAACATTATGTCCCAAAATTTTATTCTGTAAGACTCACCTTTGTCGATTCTAACTCTTTAACCAAGTGCTATCCATTTTAATCTTTTCTATAACGTTGTCTCTTACTACCCACTGGTCTTAGAAAATAGCAAAATACAATACCTTGGTGGTGCTAACTTTTCTTCTAGAAACTCTTCAATTTTATTCACATCTATTTTCACATCACCATTAAAAGTCATAAATGGAGGATTTGTTCCTGGAGCTAACTTCTGTAAATCTGCAGGCTTCCTGAAAAAAAAAACCCACAGACATCATCAAGCAAATAATTTTTGAAAAGGAACTTTTCATCTTTGTGTTTTTAGGTATCTATTGTGACATTAAAATACCATCTGTATAATTGACTAATAATGAAACCTTAAGCAAACGTATGTGAGGCTGATGGTGAGAGCAAAGCCCCTCTCACGGTAGCGTCGTCCCTCCCGCTCTCTGCCAAAAAGGAGGTGCAAACACCACCCATCCCCCCTTCCCAGGAAGAATAAACCACCCAGGGAGTGTGGAGGAGAAACTGAGGGGAATGTCCATTGGAGAAGGCGGGAAAATCTTGGCGGGAAGAGAACAACAACCTCCGGTAGAAGTGGAGGCGGAGTTAGGAGATATAAGGAGGGGGGAAGACAGTTTCCCGAGAGGTTGGGAGTGGATATGGCTGGAGGCCCCTTGGACTGGCAAGGTAGAGAGACTAAAGTCCCAAGGGAGGAGGCGGATGCCCGAAGAAGGAGTAAATGTACACCTAAACCCTCTTATTGGGCAGAAAGTGAGACAAAGGAGTGGACGAAGAAGTTGAGGGAGGAAAAGGAAAAGGCAGAGAGAGAAAGGAGGGAGAGACTAGAATGGATGATTCAGCAGCAGCATCAGAGGGGTCCTTCAGGAGAATTTGGCCAGAGGATGCCTCCCCTCGAGAACCGGTATGGACAGATGACCAGGATGAAGATACAGGCCAGGTCCTTGGAATTCCCAGGAAACTAATCCCTTCAAAGTTGATTGGAAACCCCCTCCTAATCCATTGTTAGAGGGAGACAATGGTTGGAATACCTTCGTAGACATAGAATGTCTGTTGAATAACCCAATAAATGTGACTCCGATTTCTAAACCCAAGAAGTCCGTCAGCTTATTTCAAGAAAAAGGGGAGCCAGGACTCGAACCCTCACAATGTAATAAGAGCAGGTCCCATTGGCTTACTTCTAAGGAGACATTTCTATAAATGTCTTGCACTTCATCCTGTTGAAAACCTAGATTTGGATCATTAAATATCTAGACTTAGAGCAGTCTGAGGAAAGTTAATTGTGCTCAAACCTAACTGAATGTAATACAATACTTATCTTAAAACTCAGATATCTGAATACCTAGGTATGGCTCATTAAATCTGAAACATTCACATTGGGTCTGAGTTTAATAGAAGACCTAATGGTCACAACAACAGTCAGCCAAATTTTAGGATTTCTCCATTTCAACCCTTCCACAGTAATTTTTGTACTGATGAAGAGTTCTGGGCAATAGAAAATAAAAATCATTACATGCCACTGAGTCAATTCTGACTGAAGGTGACCCTTTCCACGTTTTTCTAGGTATGAATTACCAAAAAGTGGTTTATCATTCCCTTTTTCTGGGGGTACACTGGGACTGTGCAATTTGACCAAGGCTACACAGATTGACACTTTTCCTGTGACACACAGCAGGCAAGGCAACTGAGCTGTCACCACAGTGAGATATGTAAGTCAAAGAGTGCAAAATTTGTGGAATATTTATTGCTCTTAATAAAGTTATGACCTGCTTGTGGATCAAAGTATATGAATCAAACATAGAAACATTTGAGTAGTGAGCTTTTGATATGCAGGCTTCCAAAGACACTACATTTTTACTTTAAAAACTAAAAATAAAGTATAACTCACCGTTTCAAATCCACAGTTGTAACATTAAAAATAACACCCTTTAGCCAGAGAATCATGAAGAGGCGCTGAGAAAATGGACAGTTTCCAATACTTTCCCCATCACTTCCAGCCTACAACAAAAATATTATTTTTAATTAAACCATATGGAGAATATCAATTGCTTTTGATAAAGAATCCAAAATTCAGGCCTGCAGCCTCACCTCACTAATTTTTTTCATAAAGCAAAAGCAAAGTGTGCTGCTTATATACTGCCCCATAGCACTTAAAGCACTTTCTGGGCAGTTTACAAGTTAATTGTGCAGGCTACACATCAGTGCATTTTTCTCCACTGTTCTTCCAGTCAAATAAAAGAAAAAACAAAGTTGTTTTTAAAAAACCCTGTCACGTGTCTGTGCTCTTTTGCATCTGAACAAAACAAAGAATTTTTACAGATTTAATTTTACAGAGGACCAAGTTGAGATGCCAATGCTACCCTAAAATTAACTCCATGACACTGCAAGGCACTGCCTCTTAGCCTACTCCACCTCATGGTTGTCTCAAGCATAAAAGTAGAAGCAGCTGCTCTCCACTTTTCCCCTTTTTCCTTTTTTAATTTTTTGGTCTATAGACAAGACTTTCAGAATACAGTGGTGCCCCGCATAGCAACAATAATCCGTGCAGCAAAAATTGTCACTATACGGTTTTGTTGCTATGTGGATTTAAAAAGCCCATAGGAATACATTGAAACCCCTTCGATGTGTTCCTATGGGCTTAAAACTTACCTTTTAAGCAAAAATCCTCCATACGACGGCCATTTTAGGCGCCCGGTAAGCGAGGAATTCGTCCCTGTTTTACCCGGTGGCCATTTTGGAACCGCCGATCAGCTGGGGAAAAACATAGTTATGCGATAATCAGTAAGCGAAACAGCTTACCGACATCACAAAGCGATTTTCCCCCATAGAAAACATCGTTATGCGATCACAAAAGCGATTGCAAAAACATCATCGCTATGCGGATTCGTCGTTAAATGGGGCACCCGTTATGCGAGGCACCACTGTATTACGCTGCTGCCTTCAACAACACTGGGGACTAGACCCCTGCTCAAAATCCATGTATAACTCTTATGCCCAAAATATAATATAAATATCACACAGATTACAGACAAGTATAATAACAACAACAAAGGGCTGTCAAGTCTTTCTAAAGGTACCTGAAGGACAGAAAAAGCCTCTATCAGAGGGGGAAATGGAGGCATAGTCACTCCTCCTTCCCCCCCATGTGCAACAGAGCGTGGTGGTGGTAGAAATCCCTGTGCAACCAAAGTCATGCTGTTCAGACCTGTGCAATTTGAGGGGAAAGAGTATATCTGCTTTGTAGGTGGCAAGAATGAAAGGTTAGAAACCAATCGTGGAAACGTAATTGTTATTTTTTTTCTTCCTCCAAACACTGATGTGCAGCAGCTCCAACGTGAATACCCGTACTTAGTTAATATGCATTTGAGTTTTACAAGAATTAGGTCAATACATCTAATGTTTGCTAGAAGTACAAAAAAAAAAACCAACAGATTTTTAAGGCTTATAGTTCCTTGCTTGGATGACTGTGTCCATAAGCAATGATTACATGGATTTTCTATATTTTTATCTGTGTTCTCCTATTCCCCTTATCCTTTTTCTCCCTCTTCCCTATTCCCCCTTACTTTTTGTATTCCCTACCCTGTCCTTAAATAAATACTTTAAAAAATTGTGTAAGGAAAAACAGGCAAAATGCCAGAATGAATTTTCTTTAGTTACCATGGCGGATCGAGATAGTCAAAATTACCTTTCTCTACCTTTCTGTGTGACCTTCCATAAAGTGTTGATTTCCACACACACAAATTCAGTCATAAAGCCAGATGTAAAGAAAAATAATATGTCACCATGACTCTTGACTCTGCATCACTTGTCAAAGAAAACACTGAACTGCCCTAAGTGTTTGGATGGAGCCATGCAACAACTTTATGCCGTGAACCTTAAAACACACATAAGGAACAGATCTGGAAGGATTACGAACAGGCTTTTCTCTATAGAAAGAGGAAATACCGTAATATAATACCATGACACCTTGTGTCACAGTCAATCGGCATCTTCTACATTGCAGATCAGTCTGCCTAAAAGAACCACAGTCATCAACTCTAACCAGGCTTTCAGTCTTTTCTCCTTCTTCTCCAGTCCCCCAAATTTTCTACTGACTGAAGACTGAAAATAGGCTTTAAAGGGCGGCAATAATTTGTCATTTTTCTTGTCCACATTTCTCCCGCCCTTTCCCTCTTTAATTCTGCCAATAGCCTCCGTTTAGTCATTTTAACTTCTACTGCCAAAAGTCTAGATTCATGATGACGGAGTGTCGCCTCAAGATGGAATTATTCTCAGCTTCCCTAACACACTAAAATCCCCTCATCATGTTAAGGTGTAGACAGTAAAAAATTGGGGGAAGAAGCAAAACAACTCAAAAACCAGACTTGCAATACAGACATTGCAGATTTAGCAGAAAACAAAGGTGTTGAGAGTTTGCCATTTCTCCCTTCTCTATAAACCAACAAGCCTGACTGGAACTGCTGCAAATCTGTCCATTGCCCTGGGTGCATTACATAGGCCCCTTGTGCTGGCTTTGGATAAGGAGAAACACCAGTCTTAGTTTCAACAGATCAAGAAGATAATGAGACTTAAACACTCAAATTCTTTCAGTTGGTTAAAGTAGACATACAATAAGTTGTTCAGGTTCTCTGTGCTACTTCCAGACAATAAGGTTTAAAATATGTTACAGTGCATTGTTATTCCTTTCCTTGTTATACAGGACCCACCATTAATAACACAAGACTTCATAAATCGAAGCATTTTGTTTTTATTAATTAAACATTCAATGTTTCTTAAATACTGTACTGTAATTAAAAAAAAGTATACCTAAACAGTTGTAAGTTTTTTGGCTCTGTCTGTGTTCTAATTCCTGTCCTCTGAAGATGCTGGCCACAGACTGATGAAACATTAGGAAGAAAAACTTCCAGAACACGGCCAAACAGCCCAAAAAACCTACAACAACCGCTGGACCCAGCCGTGAAAGCCTTTGAGAATATATTATACCTAAATAGCTTCACTTGTCTTTCACATCAGCCAAGGAGTACTACAGTTCTTCTGCAATGTTCTACACAGAGTAGGCACCTCATGTGCACAAACCCGCAGCAGAAAACAATACAACCCCATGTGGTAGGGAAACTAGGTCAGTCCATATTTTATTTTATTTATTTTATTTTATGCATGAAAAGTGGCAGAGGTCACCCAGAGAATATATTTGGCATGCAAAAAGCTACCCAAAGATAAGCAAATCAGTATGAACGAATTTCCACTGAAGAAATGAATACAGACTTAAAATTCTCCCATTTAAATTAATTGAATTGACGTATACTGTACTTAACTTTGGCTGGATGTATCCAAAAATATCTGTGTAATATTTCAGGTCTTTGCTATAAGCATTAAGTATTATAACGTGACATTTAACAAACCTGGATTTTGCAAATCTGTGCCACCAAGTGGTGGTTTAACACCTGAAAGTGGCTATAATGAAGAACTTTGATTTGACAGTGTAGGAAAAAAGTATTCCACAGTGCAAAACATTCTCTCCCACATATATTGATGCCTCTAAATCCATTCTTATAGTTGATACTATTCTTAACTGATACTGTGTATGTGCAATTAGGTGCCCTTCACAGAATTATTAAAATCATCTTCTTTGCAGTCTCTTCAGTGGTAGCTGGCAACAAAAGGAAAACTTGCCAAAAGACATGCTCCTGTTCTGACCACAGGAGAAAAATAATCTCTTCTTCCTTTGCTTATATTGTACCAGCGTGCCCCTAATCTAAAACGTGCAGAAATTCACCTCAGGTCTCTGTGGCTCAATCTGCTTTAATCACTAGCTAAATATATACATCCAATGGAAAATGGTATATTCTTGCTTCAGGGCTCATACTGTTGTTTCATCATTGTTGTTTGTACTTTTATATTCTAAGCAACAACAGAAACAAAATTTAGGACAGGCAAATATCTTGCACAAAGTACTATGCTGTTGAATGAAGTTCAAAAACTTGAATACTGTATGCCTATAAATATCAATGGATTAATGTATGTGTGTGAGACTGGGAACACACTCAGAGGTGGTCAGAAGGGTGTACCATGGATTAATGTATGTGTGTGAGACTGGGAATACACTCAGAGGTGGTCAGAAGGGTGTACCGTCCATCTCTTTAAGAGGAAATGAGGGACAACTGACAGATGTAATGAAAGATTACAGGAACTGAATTTAGAAACAGAAGCGAGAGAGGGCACTATTTTGGAGGGAAAAGAGGAGCAAGAGGAAACAAGGAAAGGAGGAGGGGGCGCAGTTGGTAGATTTAGGGCAGCGGTCTCAAACTTGCGGCCTGGGGGCCAATTGCGGCCTGCAGGAAGATAATTTGTGGCCCCCGCCTTAATATGAACATTTAAGGAAATTCAAACCCCTCATCATAAACCTCCCCTTAGATCTCCCTCCAATCTTTGTCCAAATATTGTAGTATAAAAATCAACTTTTAGCCCAGCAAATACAATATCAATTAGAACCGTGACGCAGTTATTTCTTCTTCTCCTGAGTTCAGCAAGCTTCTATTATTAGACTCACACGTGGTCACAAACAAAACAACAGTCACAGAGTCTCAAACTGTCCAGTAGATTGTCCTTGGAGCTCGTCTTGTGATCTTCATTAACCCCTTAATGCTCCTTAGTCCAGTTGGCCACGTCAGCTCCTTCTCCCGAAAACCACCAGATTCTATTATTTATAGTTCACAAAGTCCAGAGAAGGCAAAGAGTAACGTATCCCAGCCACACTGCATCCACCGAAGTCTCTTAAATCCAGTCAGACGGTGTTGCTGTCTGGGATTCTTCTCCAGAAACATAAGATTTATTTTTCCATCTCAGACTCTCGGCTTTAGAATCAGCCTGGTGTTTTAAGAGTTCACTTGGAGAAGCTTAGTTTCGCTTTTGAGTCAGACTGATAAGATAAACCCGCCGCTGCATTTATTCTTTCCGCCAAATATTTTCATTCTTATTTCAGCTTAATGAGGCTGTTT